TCTTTCTCTCTGTTTGATTACCACGTCCAGATTATCTGTCGTATTTTCATTTAAATCTCTTTTTTCCAAACATTCATTTATTTTAGATATTCTCGTAATTAAAACTGCACCAAAATCGCTGCTAAAATAACGTCATAAACCAAAATATATTCTCGGCTGAACGAACAATCCACACTTGAACAACTTTTAAACTGATTAAATAAGCTTCTAGAACGTTTAAACGTGCTTGAGAGTGTCTCATAGAAGGCGCCGGCTAAAGGAATATATAAATACTTATTTTCGACTTTGTTTTTCTTTCCCATGCTTTATGCTGTGCGCTATTTTCGGTATTTTATGAAGCTTCCATTCACTTTGGCGTTGAATTCAACAGAAAGCGTATTTAAAATTACAATTTTTCGAGTTGGTCTTTGAGATTTAAATCATTGAATTAAAGAGTCAATTTTTCCTTTGCTCAAAGCAAGTTCGACGTCTAGATGACTTGTGCCATTTGCATTATTCACCATTTGTACGACATATGCACGCTGTCTCATTTTCAATGCGCTATACGTAGTTGTATGTTGTTGCACCGTTTTTTTTCTCTCTAACTTATTGCTACACATGTTCCAGTAAGTCATTTTTATTAGAAACGATACATACCATTACAGCAGAGAGCGCACGCCGATGAAATTTTAAAATTCTGCGAACCATAAAAGACGGACATAATACTTTGTAAATATTTCATTATATTCCTTGGGAACGTGTTTGTGTGTGTTTGTGTGCTGGGCTTCTTGATGCTGAGTTCTTGTCGACCGCTTCGCTCGCTTTTCATGTTTTTCTAAAACTCTAAAGCCTTATTTCTATCGCTTGTTTGTGATTATCATCGATGGAACTTTCTCTCTCTGTAGAAGTTTACGTTACGAAATACACATAGTTTTCGCTGCACACACAGAGAGTGTTATGTATACGGTTATCTGGTTCCACAGACTGATTGCAACATAAAACAATGCATATGTAAAGTTTTAACTATAATTTTAAAATGCAAAACACATGAACACTATACTCTTTCTGTCCCTCTCTATCTCTCTCTCTCTCTCTCTCTCTCTCTCTCTCTCTCTCTCTTGCTTTCTGTCTCAATTTCCCCGAAGTCTTCCTGAACATTTATTTATGACTCGTTCCAGTTCCTGCGATTATTCAAAATAACTGAAAGGAAGCGGACGCTTCGTGGTACAAGTGTTTTTAGTTCTTGATACCCGCACTCTGGCTTTAATCGTATGTTGCTTGCATTTACATCGCGTCGAAACTGACTTCGTTTCCGTAAATTCTGTTTAAACAACAAAAATGATGAGAAATATGGACCAAAAATCTGATGCATCCTGCACACATGTATGTGCTGTGTTGAGCTGCATAACAGACAAGGATGAGAGAACATTTCATTGGCATGAAGCAATTAAAGTGCATAAGGCATAAAGTTAAACAACCAAAAGTTGTATGTTCGACGGAGAAATGTACACGACGGCAACGACGACGATGACTCTGTGTGAGACAGTGAGACACTGAACGAGGATGAGTGATTCGGAAATTAGTTTTCTTTTGTCTTGACAGTAATTTATGTTTTTGGGGTAAAACGGAAAGACGAACCTGCCTGTTTGTTACACACATGTATGCAATGCTTTTCTGCACACTACATTTTCAGTGGGATTTTGAATAGTTTTGGTGTTTAACCATTTGTGTTGGTTTTCATCGTGGATTTTCGTAATTAAAAACCCATTAAAGGAACATCGTTCAGATTCTCTTTCTCTGCTATTTCACATTTTATTTCTCTGTGTTGTTTTCACTAACCCCAAGATGTTTAATGCTCAAAATGACAGGGAAAAAAGCCACAGAATATTTACATGAATGGACGATTATACAGACACCCTCCACTTGATTCGTTTACAAGCAATAAACAAAACATGTGGATTGTATAAGACACACATTTTTTTTTGTCATCATCATTATATGCTTTGCATACAATGGGCTCAAGTGTTTATCTCTCTGCAAATATTTGAAATGTACAGCTCATCAGTCATTTAACATGTTTGATTAATTTGCCTTTAAAGCATGGCACGCTGTGTGATTAATGAGTTTTAGATCACAATTGATGGACATTATTTTTTATGCAATGGTTTTATACCGATACAATGATTGTCTTTAAATGATTACATCTGCTCCAGCCTAAACTCATTTGAATTTCATCATATTTCTATACACGCATGCAGAAACTCATTATGAATTTGCAGTGCGTAGTAATTGGGGATCGGATGGCATCATTTTCTTTGGCACATCAAGCATTTTACACAGTCCAGTTAATTTTCTCTCATTCCGAACTCCACCATATGTTATGCAACCATAAATGAGTCTGATCAGTATACCAAATACACACATCCCCTTCTTGTGCGTCCCATCACATATCGCATGACAATCCATTCTTTATGTTGGTGCGGCCCATTAATATGAATGGGAAATTATACTGAAAAATTTTGTTTTTGTCATGCTGTTCGGCTATGTCTGTATGTGTGTATGTCGAGTGGACTTCATCTACTGAATACAGTCGCATCGAGTGCCTGTCAGATGCATCAATTTTCAGTAGATGATTCACAGAATAAATTTCATATATATGCTTTCATATGAATGTTAAAAAAAAAACCGTTTGGCCAAGCCGAGCTCACCCTTTCGGATAGAAATTATTTAAAAAAAATTCGATGTGATTTCGCTGCATAATTCCAGCCGAGAGTCAATTTAACTGTGTATATGCATAAAAAGTGTCATACCTGTGCTCACAAAAAAATATTTGGCGGACAGGCAGCTTCCATTTCAGTACCATATATTCACTCGCATGACAAACTGAATTTTTTTGTGCATGGGAGCATTTCCTGATGTGAAATATGACTTTGGTCGATTTTTGGGTTTGTTTTTTTCTTCTGTCTCGATGAATGTTCCCATTAACAATGGCAACGAGTGTAATGAACATAAACCTAATTTGAATTAAGATCGAGGAAAAAATTTGCACATTTTTTAATCATATTCCATGGTGGAATGGAAAAAGCATACGTAGTACTAAACATTCAATTTTTGTGATGTTTCTGAATATGCGAATATGTAACATTCATTTTCAACCAATTTTTTTTAGGTAATTTCTGCTCAAATTTATGATACAACATTTTACCGTTGGTCACTGAAACATTGGGTGTAATAAAAAGTGAATATTTTATAGCTTACGTACGTGCAGCTATAGCTATAAGTAACAAATATCATAAAAATTACTCAAAATTGCACACATTCCTAAATCTAAAACATAGAAGTCAAAGTAACGCACTGAAAATGGATTCGACGATCAACTACGCTCATTCAATTTCCGATTGAAAAATGTTTCATTAGTGTGATTGGGTATTCGGCGAATTGCCAAAATCTATATCAGTTTTCAGAGCCAGTTTGTAGTAGTTTTCATTCGATAACGGCTTATCGGAAATGCTAATCTATAAAGTTTGCATGTAATCAAATTGTTAGATTGCATTTCAATAATTGAATATTTCGAATGGACTTTGCTTCATAAGCGGAATAAAGATGAATAGGGCAAGTTATGGCGTTAAGTGCAGACAGGTATTTAAACCTGCATAACATTGTGTAACAATGAATTTATGGATGAAGTCAAGAAAATATCTCTCTCACCCTCTCAAAAATACATTCCGTCTTCAAAACATGTATGTAATCTTATGTTTTATTCATGACTGAGATGGAATTTCAAGCCAACACCTACACTACTAGTATAGAAACGTCTATATATTCATGCGGTGGAATGATTGTGTATCCATAACGACTAGTTGAATTTTTTCGAAAAGTTATAAACTCGTTGCCAACTTTGATGAAAATAATTGAGATAGTCAAAGTGCGCTTAATTTTCGGCAATGCACTTCAAAAGATCCGTCTCCGTTGGAATACGAAATTCTAGTAAATTTGTTGCATGTCGCTCCCCCGTCCGGCTAGGCATAACTGTTGTTGCCCGATAAAGTTTTTGGTTGTTCAATTTTGGGTTGGTTGTTTATGTCTGTATGTGTGTGTGTGTGTGTTTGTGTGTGAGTGAAGACATGTTTGGAAAAATGAATGTATATATTAGAGCACCGCATCTATTGTGAGACGGAATATTTGTTTCTACAACTTTATCCATTACATTTTCCCATTTACAACGAATGAAGTAATGTTTTCGGCGGCTCAAGCGTAATTCGGTAACATTGAATACGTGCACTATGTGGTAGAAATGTAAGCGATGATAATGATATTTTATTGTGCATCAATTCAGATTTCCTTTAATCGTCGGCTGGATTTGCATTTCAGTGACGGTGAACGGCGCTGAATCCATTTCCAAACGGAATTAAATGTTGAAGCATGCCACGGGCACAATACAAAACAATATTCGCCAGCACCTGTCAATCCGCGTGAGCCACAGAAAAGGTGAATAGCTTGCGCTGTCAAAGTTTCACTGTTGCTACTGCGGTCGCTGGTTCATGGATACAACTAAGCTGGTAATATTTATTTGTTTGCGTAGTCAAGCGAATAAATAAATGAGGTCGTAGTCTGCCAAAGGCTATTGCCAGTGCAAATACTCACATTCAGAAATTAATTCGCATCCACCGTTTAATATAAAAGCAGAAAACTCACCTTTTGCCCAGAGCTCGCTCTCCCGCTCTTTCACTACACTTTCCTCTCTATCTCGTTCTCTCACTCACAGTTCCCTTTCCTCTCTCGCTCGCTCAGTTTACTCTATTCATTCCGGTTTACGGCTTCAATTTCGTGCACGCAAATGAAGCAATGTGTTCAAATTCATTACCAGCCCAAATTGTTACCATTATTTTTTTTCTCTCTCTGCTGTTACTTTGTTTCTTTATATTTGATATTAGCTTTAATTAAGTTAGCTGTAACAGCATCGCAAATTTTCAACAATGAATAACATAATGGTGTGTTTTTTTCTCTCTTCTTTTCTGCAGGTTACACGGGCAAAAATTGTCAGTTCGAGTCGGATCCATGTCAGAATGGTGAATGTCAAAATGGAGGCACATGCACTGGAAATGCAACGCATTTCAGGTTTGATGGCGCTTTTATTAAAATATTTTACACAATTTCTACCAGCAATTAGGTTCTCTGTGAAATGAATGCACTGAAGCTTGCGAATTCATTCGCTTTTCCTATCTGCAGGCATTCAATTTCCATTTTTAATATACCGTGTGTTCCATTTTTTTCTCCCTCTCTCTTTTTGTTGACCGCTTCGGTCATGTTGTTAGTGCGGCTTTGATACTGTTCATTTCACGTTTTAAGAGTAATCGATGCTTTCCTTTGTGATAAGGACAAGAATATACGATGTAATAAAAGGCAGTAATTTACTCAATCCTAAGCTGTTATCGTTGGACGTTTGTAATTTTTCCACTTGAAAATCGATGCTATACACCGGCATAATTCTCGGCAAATATGATGTTAGGTTTGTTCAATTAGTTAAGAGCATAACTTAGGGATTTCTTTCATCGCAACCATAAAAAACGATTCAGCACCGAAAAAAAATCCAATCGTTGTCCGAATTATCGAATCATCAGACGGTACCAAAAAGTGGTTGGTGTGTGTGCGAAAATGAATTCAGTTTGCCAGTTTCACAGTGATGATCTCGTGGTCGAAAACATGCACACAAAAAATGGTGGTGTATATACTTTCCAGTGCCCAGTTTTATCTCATCAATTACTCGGAGTGAAACCCAAACGGCGTTATCTTTTTTTCTCTCTCGGCTTGTTCGCGTTTCGTTTCGGATTTTACGGTTTTGCCAAATACTATATTTCAGTCTGTAATTTTTTTTTTCTCCGGAGGCGTCACTCCAAATAAAAAACTTCACGTTCACTGAGTGTGTACACACATTATACACTCTGTTGTTTTCCAATTTCAAGACTTGTGTTCGTTTCCCACCTTTTTACAATCGGATCGTCATTTTGATTCTTTTCTTTCGCTCTATCTCTATTGCGGCCACTACACAAGCATTGAACTTGTTTACATTACATCATTCATTCTGTCAATTTTTAATCGAATCGGCTGAGAAAGTAAATTCACATCATAAAATGAAATGAAAAGCGAAATGGATTCGTTCCAAACGAGAGGAGGAAAAAAATCGATTTCTATCAAGAGATAGAAGAAAAAAGATTGTCAATTTGCATTGGTCCCTTGTTTGTCTCGTTTAGAATCGCCTTTATGCGTGTCTATGTGGTGGACGAGTGAAATCAAAGTAGAAAGCTGCACAGAGAAAAAAAAAGTCATTCAACATTTATTGCCCTAATATTTTTCTGTCACTTTCATTATGCTCTTTGTTTATATCTACTGTACGTCCGGGGCCCAAAGTTAAATGCAGACGAGAGAAAAAAAAATGTTTATATACATACCGACAAAACACATTATCCGATTAACTCGGATGATAAATCATAAATGAAAGAGCATCGTGCACCGAGGAAGCGAAATGACTGTTTGAGCCAAAGGATTGAGACCTCTGCCAATCTACAGTAGTATCAACAAACGACAGTAGCATCATCACGGGCCAAATGCTATGTAGTGGTCAGTAGCGGCCGCTTCTTAATCCCATAAATGTGAATATTTGCCAATTCGTGTATTTATTTGCAATGGAAAAAAAGTCGACTTAAACAAATGATGTCAACGGCAGTCCGGATCTCCCTTGCTCTGCCTTCCACCACCTCCTCTTCGCTGTCTGTGTACTGGTTGCGCATTTATCTCTGGTCCATCTTTCTGTCGCTCTGAAATGGTTCGTATAAACTCGGTCCATAATCTCGTCGCTGTCCCGTTTTTTGTTACAGCATTTCATATTAATGGTCGGCCATTATTCTCTGTTTCTTGTTACCGTACCAAATCAAAAACCAAGAGGTAGAGGGAGAGAGAGAGAGAGACAGAAAAAAGGAACGTAGCTCGAGAAAATATTTTTGAGCTTTTTCAGTTGATCCAAGCGAAATGTTAGCGTCACCAAAATTTATTCATTTCATCTAATTTTTCGCCATGTGTGTGTGTTTGCTTTCTTTTTCATTGTAGATGCGAATGCACACCCGGATTTACCGGTCCGTTGTGTCAACATAATTTGAACGAATGTGAATCGTCGCCGTGTGTGCATGGCATATGTGTGGACCAAGAGGATGGATTCCGTTGTTTTTGTCAACCAGGTAAATATACGCTCATTTTTATTTATTTACGTAATTTATTCGACCGTATTTTTTTTTTGCTGTGTGTGAGTTCCTTCGCTTGCGTGCGCAAGCATTCATGATAAATTCGCGTCATCTCATTCGGCAGATTTATCGATAAATTATATGCCTTATGCTTCCGGATCGAATTCCGGCCGATCGCAACGCGCGCCGCACACAAGAGGAAATTGCGGAACGTAGCTGATGGTTGGGTAGAGGGAGAGTAGAATATTTGTAACATTTTTGACAGATATGTAGATTAACGCCAGCCATACAAATAGCATGATTAAAACCACTTCTCAGCCCTTGAATTGAATCGCAGGTAATCATTCCCTGTATTGATGGATAATCAACTGTGTTACACCATTCACATTGGCTGCATTTGCGTGTGTATGTGTGCCTTTGAGCCGTAAATGAAATCCAACATTTGGGTTTGGGGAGGGGAATTAAAGTGAGACCGCAGAACTGAGTAAAATGCAAATTTTACCATGGAACAAATGTGAACAGATGAATACAGAATGTAAACATGATAACATGTAATACTTTGAATGGATCAGGTGTTGTGTTTTTTGTGGTTTTGCAAAATAACTGACATGATATAAAAGCCACATCAGTGTCTATCTAAATCGACACGTACACGAGCGAGTTGAGACGGCATGAAATAGGCCATTTCTCTCGGTAAATATATTATAAGTATGAGGCTTGTTCAGCAAACATGACAACGAATCCGAATTCCAATTTTAATTTACATAAGCGTATGTACTGTGTCAGAACCGTGTTTTTGCCGCGCTGCGACATTTTCCACGGTATATGTTCTCGGTGTGGCACAATTGTTCACGGGAAAAGACTTTAATACAATTTTTCGGTCGTTTCATTTGCAAACCACAAAGCGACAACATTCCAAATTCACCAAAAACTCTGACAAGCTTAAAATTGAATGCTCAACGCAGAAAAAGATTTTGATCAATTAGAACTTTCAACATAGTTGGGAAACCCGTTTGAAACAGACACGGATGCTTTCATTTAGAAGCATTGTTCATCCAGTAAGTTTTCCTCTTAAAATGCATTTGCATCGTCTGTCATTTCGGGTTTGAATTGATTAATTTCGGTGGCATCTCCCACTGATGTAAATTTTCAGACGAAATTCCAACAAATCATGGCGCATCACAAATGATTCCGTTATTTTAATGGTTTCCGTTTCACTATTTGAAGAAATGGTATCGCTTTCATTAAAACGGCATAAACATTCATGATGGCGGAACATTTTGCACGAAAAAACCATTACCAAAAGGGAATCTAATAAATTGAAATTACAGCTAAGAATCACTACACTTCAAAGCTGCTGCCGAATCGAAATGAAAAAAAAATTAATGGATATTTCAACTTGGTGATCCAAATTCAAGTAGTTTCGAATTGTGTGTGTGTGTGTGTGTATGGTATTGAAAACACTTGTAAAATGTGCAATACAACTCGTTCTCTCTCTCTCTCTCTCTCTCTCTCGCTCTGTGCCTAACATGCAAAGTGAAAATAAATACAGGCATTATTCAGATGTGTTTTTGAAATATTCAATGCATTTGACTCTCAATCCATCAGTTTTTTTGTTCTCCTCTCCACTTAACTCAACTTGATACCGAGAGTATCGGAGCACAAATGCTTCGAAGGGTTCGAATCAGAAGCACCATTTGAACTTTTTCAATGCATTGTAAATGAGGAAAAAAGGATTGATTTCATCGATGCAGAGAGGGAGAGAGAGAGAGAGAGAGAGAGAGAGAGAGAGAGAGAGAGGGAAAAAACTAGTGATGAATTCAATCCGAACAGGGAAATGCGTTCGATTGACTTTTCAGCATAACAAACATAGAAAGTTGGTTCATCTTGAATTCCGTGCATCATTTGATTTTAATGCACGTTTTAATTATACGGTCTTGCATTCGCTCCGGGTATATGCAATTTACATGAGCAAAACATAGACAATTCCATCTCGTTTAAAATGCACTGTGATTTTTGAATGTGCATATATCTGTTATCCAACTCCATGGGAAGCAGTTCATTTCTCAAATTAACAAAGTTTTAAATGAATTGAACACTTTGCGGCAAAAATCGCTTCCGTAATGAATTAATTATTGAATAAAAAAAATCGCAAAAACCATTTGATATTTATGGTTCTTTTTTTAAAATATTCATAGTTATCGAAGCGCCAGTTTTGTGCGAAAAGATTAAATAAATGGACTAATTTGAAAAGTGTACCACACACATTTTAGTGTGAGAGCAAAAATTGAAACTTAATTTACCACATGGAAAATGGTTTGATGTGAGCGAAATAAATGAAATAATACAACAACATACAATTTTTATTACTCATCGAAATCAAATTATGACTGACACATTCAATTGGAAAAGTTTATAAAATAAAATATGTGCGATGCCATTGGCAGATTGTCAGAGTCAGGAATTTTCCAAGTTGTGTGTAGATTGAAAAGCAAAAGTTTCCATTTTCGTGCTTAACTTTCACATTATTTCATGTGAATATTGTCTCCATGTGTGTATGTGTGTTTTTGCGGCAAAACTATGCTTTGAAATGAGTTTTGTACACAAGTTTGCAAACATGTTTCAGATCATTGTATTTCAAAAACGGGCCAAATAGTACATACCTCTTTCAAGTTCCAACTTGAACATGTTGGAACTTCCAAGCGATACATTTAACTTGCGAAATTCGGTCAGCAGCATTTATTTTGCTTTCGATAAATACTGTCCAAAACTGATCCACATGATGGTTTTATTAAATCGGTGACTTTGGAGCATATATGCCATGCAAAACACATCGAACGACATGCTCAAAATACACAAACACATTCCATCGACGGTGGTACGCTTACAAACGAAACAAATGTTCGATTAGTTATATGGCATTGATTCGGAATGCAAAGCAGACGACAGTCTTTTAGCTGTAAAATGGAAATGAATAACACAAAATCGAGATTGTATTCGTTTTTCAATCCAATGAACATTACTTATGTGTTGTTTTTCTCCCTTTCTCTTTCTCTCTTTTTCTATCTCATTTCTTCCATAGGTTTTTCGGGCGAGTATTGCAACTACGAGTACAATGAATGCGATTCGAATCCGTGTTTGAACGATGGCCAATGTACCGACCATATTGGTGGATTTTCATGCAAATGTACGCGCGGCTACACAGGAAAACGATGCCACATTAAAGTTAGTAGTATTTTCTTTATTTATCGTTGTTGATTTTGTTGCCGAATCGTCGCTTTTTTCTCTCTCTCCATCTTTTTCGCTTCGTTTTCGATTTTGCAATGTTTCAATATACGTGTGCGTGCGGGATGTTCTTATTTTGTGATCGCTTTATTTATTTAGTGTTGTTGTTTAGACGATGCGCTTCATTTTTTCCATTTTATTATTTTCCACTTGCGGATTTTTCCCCTATGAGCAATAAATTTGCGAACGCATTTCAGTCGAGCTGGATTAAATGTAAAATCGATGCTATAATGTTGCAATTTATAAAAGCGCTGAGCACAGCGCACTGTGCAGTCGATGCATGTTGTGTACGGCAGCGAATAGTTTTAGATCCTTCGTAACTACATTGCAAAGATAAACCTGCCAACGGAATGTACACCGAATAAAATCAAATGTAAAATCGATGCTTCGTTGTGTGTGTGTGTTAAAATAACACTGTTCATCGATTCGCTCTCTTCGCCCATAAAATTTCAGCATTGTCGATATTTGCCCATTTCGTCTTGCTTACGTTCCCGTTACAACTGCAGAAAGAAAAACAAGAAATTTTCAATCTTTCATGTTCGAAATTCGAATGATGGTTTCTGTTTTCATGTTGAAATTTAAATGTTGCAACTATGTGTGTACTGTTGTTGTCTGTAAATTGTTCGTTGGAAAACGGTTTGGATAATTCGAAAAAAGGAAGAAACCCGTTTTCGACTGGTTGTTATTTGTGCGAAGCATGAGGAAGAACGGGTAACGAAATGATATGAAAAATTTTGGCAACGAATAAACAGAAGCCATTGTACAAATTGAAAATTAAATTCCGTTGCATGATATTCCTCATGTTGGGTTTTGAAGGCGGAACCAATTCTTCCCTGTTTGTGTGTTTTAATTCAAGTTTCAAACGACTGCCAATGCACAATGATGCTTCCACATCTTGTGCGTGTTCAACAGCATATGCTATATGCTATATGCTATATGAACAACGCACATTTGGCTTCAACTCATTGAGAGCGGGAGGTAGAGAGTGGGAAAAAGTCGTAAATGCGAGTTTTTTGACAATGAAACACAATCGTAAAACAAACGAATCGTCCATAAATTTTTATAAACCAATTTAAATTCTATATCTATCTGGAATGGTGGAGTGATGAATCCTCTCCACCAGGATTCGCGTGTGCGCTTATTGTTATATACGATTTCATTTGGATTTGGAGGATATGCTGTACCACAGTAGCATTAGCCGGTGATACCGTTTGATAATTATAGTAATTTCCATTCATCCGTAATTTCATTTGCTCACACACACACACACACGCGCAACACAAACAATTCACACGCGAAATTTTTCGGTTCGCATCCAGACCGACAGCAATGGTCTTCCGACACACACAGAAAGAACCCAGCGAATGACTTTTACGCTCTGAAACAACATCCATAGGCAATATTGCGCTTGCTAACGATGAACATATATTACCATTATAAATGCAACACGATGTACTCTCAAACGAATGTTTGTCATTGCCCGACACAGGAGAGTAAAAGCGAATCATTTGAAAACGGAAAGCGAAGGGAAAAAATCATTTCGTTTGCCATCTCGAACAACCATTCGTGTTGAACCCATTCAAGCGTTCAACTTCGGGGCTTTAATTTCCTTTTGTTCGATCCCATTGTTCCCGTTGTTGTTGTTGTTGTTGTTGTTGTTGTGTTGAGTGTTGTTTGCAAATTACATCAAGCAATTATTCGGTGAGGCTTGAGCCGGGTAAAATACACTTTTTTTCTTTTCAATTCATTTAGTTAAGTTAAGAAGAGGAAAAAAAAACTACGAGGTTTAACACAAATGTGTGATGCCAATGGAACGGCTTTTTTCTACTCGAGCTTTCTCTTGTTTGCAATTCAGTTGCGTCGGAAATCGGACAATGTGAGTGGAAGCGCAATAGTGCAGAAAACAAGATAACGTGATCAATGTGAGGTGAATTGTTGTAGGTTATGCATTCACACTGATGCAAATGAAATGTAAACTACCTGCTCCTTTCTCCATACGTCATCCGTACCATATGTAGATTGTCACTCTTTCGGGTGGAGACTTAAAAAAACCGTGCATTATTCAGCATTTCATAGTGCCACTGTTCGGCGTCGCTCATTTGAATGTGCACAAGTTAGACTGATAGGCAACATTGTAACACTTTTTAATTAAACAGATCAATGTAGAAACAGATCAATTCACGAATATGGAATGCTTGGATTATTACAAATTGAAATTGACGTCATTTCCTTCGAAAATTTTCGCTTCAAGTATTCTGACAGAATATTGAAGTAAATCGATCATAGTAATTTTGGTTGAAAAAAGATAAAAAAGAAATTTCTGAGTTTTGTTACTTTCGTCGATTGAATGTTTGAAATTGTGAGTTAAATTTGCGATATGGCGGATATAAGGGAGTATTTGCGGGAATTGCTCAAGAGAGCTATACCAGACCGGTCAGGAGAGATCGTGAACTTTCGAGAGCTACGTAATCTACTCGAAGTTTCGATTGACGTTCGAACACAGCGAAAAAGTTCGACTTCCACGCATCACGGCGCAGAAAGTGATGATGGGACTCATTATCTTTCCGAGGATAAAGAACAAACGCCGACGAGTGAAGAAGAAGCACAAAAAATGTTGAGCGATGAAGAAAAACTGTCATCGCTTTCGGACGAAATGATAAGTGAAGCAAGTACGCCGAAAAGTGAAATTGAAAGTGAGACCATTGGAGAAACAGAAGAAACGAAACATAATATCACTCCAGTCCGGAGCAAAATTGTTGAAAATCAAGCGGAAGCTCTCAAAGATGCATCGAAACAGGGAAGTTCTGCAAAGGATGAAGAAAAATCAAGTTCAAAGGTTAAGCAGCCAAGTGTAAGATCACAAAAAAGTGTAAAATCCCCAAGAGATTCTCATATTAAACCTCAAAAAGTGGATTCGACAAGATCTTCGAGAACTCAATATTCAAAAAATCAAGCGTCAAAAACTGAAATGCCAAAAACGTCAAAAACAAAGCCATCGAAAACTGAACATTCAAAAGAGGATGCCCATAAAGATCAATCTCATAAAAAAATTGAACCGACGAGTCCAGTGGAATCAATGGATGAAAAATACGATAGTTTATCCGAAATAGAGTCGCCAATAAGTTCAGGTATGGAAACACCAATAGCACCGGAATCACACACTCCTCTCACAGGAAAAGGTGAGCTAAAGCCAGACTTTGCGGCGGTGAAAGAAATATATTCTGAAATAATTGAGAAAACTCTGAAATGTATTCGAACAGAATCTGCGATGACAAGTTCTGGCGAAGAGGGCAAAGAACGCGAAACACATACAAGTGAGGAGGCGAGTTCAAGTAGCCATCACATACCGAAGAATGATCAAAAGGCTGGCGCAAGCGGTACAACCGATAAAAAGAAACCGCCTATGGATGGCGACAGAAAACGATTTTACTGTGACGACGGCGAATTGTTGTTGGTTGTGAGAATGCCAAAGGATTTGGTGTGCAATACAAGGGACCAAAGTGAATTCACATTCGAATTGAGCGAAGAAGATTTCCGAAGAGGTGAACGAGAGAAGGACACATGAACGGAGAGTGGATGAGATAAAAATAGACCAATGAAATGATGATACGAGTTTTATATCCACATTCAATGTTGTACCAAAAACTAATTGCAATTGATTTTGACGCAAAAGTTTGTTCGAAAAAAAATGGTTATGTGATAAGTTAAAGTTTTGTATTGCTTCTGGACGAAAATTAAGTCGCATTTTTCTTTTTATTGCCTAGACAAAGCGAATCGAACAACGAACCGATCGTTATTATAATTCGAAGCATAAAATGTGAATATTGAGTTCGTGTAATAAAATTGTATGCAATATTCTGAATGTAGCCCAAAGTAAATCAAGAGAATGCTGTAAATATATGCTTTTATTACTTGTCGCTCTGTGTTTGGTTCAAGTGGTAGGATTTATATACGTTTTAAATCGCAGTATGATGGCAAATGAATTGAATGCGCTGCTCGGCATGACATCGAAACTCATTTTCCCCCATTGCGAATGACGGCACGTAAAAATTGTTGAAATTTATTTCGTAGAATTCGGCAAGATTGTTTTTATCCGCGATGTGTAATGGGCGAGCATAAACAATGATTGTATTCGATGTAGGATGGTATTGACTCAATGCTGTTGAATATCCAAAAAGCTCTTAATCAATGGAAATAACAACGGTATAGCATTCGCTATGGAAATGCGATACGAATGATCCGATCGAATGGAATGTTTTTTTTTATATTGTCATTTAAGCATTATTATTTGTAAAACAAAAAAAAATATCCGGCCATATTTGGGTTTTTGTTATAAAAATATATTTATAAGTCTCTCATTTCAATGGACAAAATGTGTTCGAATCGAAAAAAGAACAAAAAACCTGGTGTGCAAATACAATGAAAATGGCATCAAGTTTGGGCTTTGGTTGAATTTAATTAAATTTAATCTGGTGGTTCCATTCTAAGTATATAGATATTTCATTCGAATGGAAATGCATTTAACTTGTCAACAGCACTTTTGTCCATTACATAGTCCCGTCTGGTTCAATGACCGACCAATGCTTTTGAATTTAATATCATATATCCTTGAACAATTCGGTTGAAAACATTTTTTTACATTGTGCTCAGCATCTGCTGGCAACACTTTTTTTCCGCACATTGTATACTATATATGTATTTTTTGAAATTCTATTTTTATTCGCACAAAGCTGTTGTTTTTGCTTTTTACCAATGGTACTGGAAACAGTAGTTGTTCCATGGAAATGAAAAGCCAACTCACACTGCATGTGTGTGCATGGTGGACGTGCATCAAAGCATTCCAGTGCGACATGTCCTGAGCATATTTCGACCATGTTTCCAGGCGAATTTTCATTTCGTTGCTTTGCCAAAAAAAATTGCCAATTTCTTTATTGTTTTCATTCGGAAATTCCATAAACGAACATGTCGAATGACTGTCGTCGTGTGTGATGGCAACCAAATAATGAAAAAATTTACCAAATTAAAGTCAATTCGATGAAAACACCACGAAAAAAAAAACAGCACACCATGCCAATGACGCATTTAATTTAATTGACATTTCGTTTTTCTTATGATCTTTTTCGAAACACATCCACACGCATCACAACAAATGATACGAAATGCAAACAGGTTGATTTTTGTGCAAATAATCCATGCCCTGAGGGCCATCAGTGCAATGATCATGGCAACGACTTTTCGTGCGAATGCCCCGAAGGAAGAAGCGGTCTTGATTGCAGCCAAATTCCACGAACGGTATGTTTCATGGGTTTTCTGTCAAATTATATTCTATTACATTAATTGAATAAAATTTTTGGGTAGGGAAAGGTGTCAGTTACACGTTTTCCAATTAATTTTCAACAATTGATGCACATAAAAGCCGGTGAATGGCAAAAGATGTGAGAGCATCTGCAATGTAATTGAATTTATTTGAGTGGGAAAAGCGAGAAAAGTTAATCAATTTAAATCGTCTTACGGCAAAATAATGTAGTTTAACAAGGCGAGCGATGTAAATTCTTTACATGTTCCAGACGCTTTTTAGCGTGGGTTTGGGTGCTGTTGGAAATGTTGTAATTCAGAAAATGTAATGAATCTTCGGCAAAACCACAGACATTGCATAAACACGAATTTTGCCGACCAAAATACCCAACAACATCACTACAAACACAATAGACACTATTTCCAATTCATCACATTTTCTGTGCCATCAAACAGTGATGGCAAACCACAATCAATGCCCCTTTGCCATGTCAAGCGGAATGAAACAACAGTGTGGCCAAAACACGTGTACAAATGATACTCGGATGGCGACAGCCAATCACATCATTATCTTTCAATTTTGTGTGTTGTGTCTATGCAATTGTACATAAGAAGAACTGCTCTATCTCCCAGTGGGAAAATTCCCGCTGAATAAATACGAATGTAATGTAATTGGGGGAAACAAAGCAAAAAAAAAACGAGAAAGGAAGACGATACGAATCGAATCTCAACTCTTTTGTCATGAAAATTTCCAGAAAATTACGCTTATAATTTTGAGCCATCGTTCGATATTGCGTCATCGTCGTCAACGTCGTCAACGGCGTTCGTTGTGCGATTATTTTTTTGTATTCGTGCATTACTTTCCACTTCATTTTAAGCATTGTTAGCGCGTGAATCTTATTCGTTGGTAAATTAAGCCATCAAAGCATCATCATTGCTGTCGACGAAGACAACGTTGTCGTCGTCGTCATGCTTGGAATTCGCATTTTCACGATTCAAGGAAGAGGAATGAACGGAAAAGTGTGATTCACATGTACAATACTCATTTTCATCTTGTGCTCTTGCTCTTTCGCTCTCCACCCGCAACATTTCGCTCCACATCACACGGAGATTAGACACAGACAATAAATAAATATGAGATATGTATTTTTATATGAAACTTCTTTTGATGGCAAAACGACCGACACAAAATTGAAAGCATGGGAAATGAAGCGTGTGAGATGTAATGATCATGATAAATAAAATATGCGACGATACAATGGCAAGCATTGAGACACGCCATTTCATCTCTTGCTCTCTTTTTCCCTGGTGCGCTTGAAGTTTTTCGTCAAGTATTGCTTGCTCCTTGCACCAACCATCCATACACTGGATGTGTACTCAATTTTATCTATATCTTTCAAGTTCCAAATTCTTTTATTCGTTCGTTTTTTGACTAAAAAAATTCGTATCTCCCAAACTTTTGCTCCCATTTTGCTCAAGAAGAAAATGTTATTTTCGTTTTGAAGTGTGTGTTGTTTCCCTCAAACCCGATTTCTATCGACTGACAACACTTGCAAAACAAAAGAATTTTCGATTGTTTGTTCTGTCGGTTGTGATACATGCGCCAAACTGTGGGGTTGATTCGTTACACATGAAAATAAGTTGTCAACTGTAACAAAGTACATGAATTTCAAGATTTCACTCATAAACATTATCAGCCGTTGTGTAATTGAATTTTCATCCCATTACATGTTCTCCTTGAGCAAAATCGTCGGGAATTTTCGGCAAGCAGTCGGTTGATAAAAATTGTATGACTGAAAATCAATTACGAATTTTGTGCACTTGTTGTTCGGGCGTTGCGAGAGAAGAGCACCGTGTGTATGTGTGTTTCCAGAATAATGCATTTGCAACGTGAATTTCATGTTATGTGGGAAGCGATTTATCTGTTTCTCGTGCTGAATTACATTGCGATGCTTATTTTGGGAGCTCGCACGCATGCACACACTTGGTGCACGGTAAGCCACTTGGTAAACAATATTCCTCGGCAAATATGGAGAGAACAGCATTCGCTGTCTCGCTCGCGCTATCGGCGAAAATGCACAACTTTCTCATTCGATGCGAAAACACAGGACAAAATGGATGAAACTTTTGCTTATTGTTCGTTTGCACTCCAATTGGATGCAACTTCTTTGTCATCCATGTTGCCTTTTTTCCATCGTTCGGCAATTCCAAGAAACGCGAAGTGAAATTTAGAAATAAGTGTGTAGGCAGACAGGCAAGTGAGTTGCATAGCCAAATGCCAGCACGTCGAAATGATATTTCAACGAGGAGACAACGCATACACACTTCTCAATGCAAACATTTGAAATCTCTATCGGAACCACTCATTAAAGTCATTGCAATTGTGAGCAAGCTGTTTCCAAGAAATTCATTTGGTTTTTCCGAAAAGTTAGTCTCTCGCTGCATCTCGGTCGACATTGTGTAGAAGAAACTTTTGTTTATCTTTTTCAGTCGTTCTCTTTCTCTCTAGCAAATGCTTTTGTACAAGTACGAAAAAAGCATGCAAATTAAAATAAGAACCATTACAGCAGGTTATTATTTTGGTACGAGAGGGTGAGCGAGTGAATGATGTAGCAAAAAAAAAAGCCACACAACTGACTGTATCTTTGCCTTTGCTTTTCGAGTAACTTACGAAATAATATATACACTCGATGTGGCTCGATTTTTTATTGCTTGCAATACTATTTTTTTCTTCTCTGCTGCACGCTATGACAGTGTAGGATCTATTTCATGGTTGGAAATGTAAAACAAACGAAATAATGTGTTTTCAAAGCAAATAGTCGTTGTAAGTTGCAGATGGGAGCCGCACACAGACACACATAATTTGAATTGTTTGCATACCGATTTTCCACTTCGTGAATAATTGTCATTGTTTCAGAAATACACGTAGAGTGTGTGTGTGTTTGTGTTTTGCCGCTATGCTGCACTTTGCTTTATAGCCGCTACAAAACCACTTTTCACTGGGAACATTTTATGCAAACCAAAAACTGAAACCGTTTTTTATCTCTCTCTCTCTCTCTGTTCAACTTCCATAATATGGACCGCAAAGGAAGTTCTATTTTTTTCATTCTACTCTCTGCTTCGATTTTGACCTAAGGTTCGTAAATTTCGAGAATGTGTGTGAGTCTGCATTAGCAATAACACAGCCAGCAAACGACCAGCTCTGGTTTTATCCAAGCATCATTCTTCATAAGAAAATATTTGCATTGCAAAAGCCATAACGCGCAACACTTGCGGGCGCGCTCATGCATCGGTTATGACTTTGTGGATTTTCTCTTCGTATCTTATCTGTATCGGCGTCTGGTTTTCAGATTTATACTTTCTCGTTGCTATGTATATGGCGAGCAGAAACTTTTGAAACACAGAGAGCTTTGAATAAAATCCAACAATAATGGAGGGAAAAAAACGAGGGAGAGAGAGCAAAAGAGAGCAAACAAATTGAGTCATTGAAAAGTTTGCAGTGTGGCCGTAGAAATTTGAATTTTCGCATTCAAACCGAAAACAAAGTTTGAGCGAAAAGAAAAGAATTAGCCGAGAAAAGTACCGAGTTGCACCTTTACATCATTAAACAATTCATGGTATTGGGCCAGCGGTTTTATTGCCACGCCATCAATTTGCACCTACACACACATACAGACAAACAATCAAAAAAAATAAACAAACAACTAAGAAATAACATTTAGAAGGGATTCACTGTGTGGATGTATGAATAACACAATTGAAAGCATTTCTCAAAAGTGGCAATCAATTCCATTGAGATCATGGTACGTTTTTTTTGGGGTTGGGGAGAGAAAAACAATTTTCGAGAGCACTTGACGACGAACAAACTCAAGTAATACTCAATATATACTAGTCAAGCTTAGGGTTTCAAGGGCCATTCGACTTACTTTCTTCACATATTTGCTTTAACTTTTCGGCATATGTGTCGGTATATGTTTGCTCTTGACTAATTTTGAAAGTTTCAGGTATCATATTGCGATGGGGATGCCAGAGAATTTCGATGCAATTCCATAAATTCTTTGATGGCTTCATTTAACCTGAATTCAAAACTAAGCTAGATGTTTGAAGAAGAAAACTATCGATTTATCCCATCATCATCATCATCGTTGTTCTTCCCTCAAAATTGAGCGCATAAAAATATAATGAAATGGCTTCCCAGATAAAAGATCAAACGACAAAATGTTCAAACCGAAATGAATGAATGAATAAATGTGATGGTGATGATTCGCTTCAATGCACTAGTGCAATGTGGAAAATGATAATTTTGAACTATAACGTCCACGAAGAAAAAACAAACTTACTATATAAGACGATCCTCTTACATTTATTTTGGCCAATGCAATAACTTTCTGCTATCGCATTCTATTTTGTCCCTCTGCGTGTGTGTGTGTGTGTATATGTGTAATGAAAGAACGAAACATATTTGACGAACGAAAGATGGAAAATGAAAACAAAGAAAAAATGGTTTCGATCCAAATAAATGGGAATTGGTCACATTTCGTACAAAAGATAGAATCGTATTGATATTGATGCTCGAGAAAAATGTTTGGATAGAACGCACGAGACGGGGTTGAATGCATCTCAACGGCTACCATTCCAATGCTAGGGTGTAGCACTACAGAAAAAAATCGCATGAATTCAAATGGTTTAGACTATGTTTTTGACCTAGTCCAAATCACTACCGACAAAATTGGCCGTCTGTGTAAGAGGCTCAATAATTCGACTTTAAATCATAATGAATGACATTAGATACTGAAGAAAAGAAAAAAGAGTAGAAAAAGGAAGTGAGAGCGAGAGAGAGAAAAAAACGGTTTTCGTCCAGACTGCAATGAAAAATGTTCTTCAGTCGGTTCGCATTCTCCATCGGCTACACCCTATTCGCCGTCAATGTGTCGACAGTGCACGCTGAACGTGTTCGCTGAGAGCAACGAAACACCAACCCAAAATGAAACACCGAC